ATTCTGAATTCAAAGCTATTATTGTTATAGTTACCTCGAAGCCGGCACTGCAGGCAAGAGGTAATTAAAAGTAGTGGGAGAAGTGAGAAGTTGAAAGTCAATATTGATAAAGACCCAAGGCTTGAGAAAACATTTTTCTTCGCAAAAATCCACAAATGTCTATAATATGGTTTGAAAACGGACGTTGTGTTCACAATGCACTTTACCGTAGAGAGTCCGGATAAATTATCAGCGGCTAATATCAAATGATATAAATACCCTTGACATCAGTAGAGGCCATAAAACCTCAACCACTGATTAACATAACTCATCTACAGATTCTCGCCGGTTACAAACTTCTCTGAACTACTTGACAAGAGGCTAGGATTCCCATCACAATTAAAACTCTCTAATAGAAACACACTTTATACCGACTGGACCCCAAGGCAAGCCATCCTGCTACTGTTGAGGGGTGTCATTCCACTTCCCCTTTCAGCCACAATATCATGGAATGCAGTTCAAATAATTTTTTCTAAGTGTTTCCTTTGCGTGGTTTCTTCTAATTTAATCTTGAAGTGACGTATTTTTGTTATCTGATCTGTTTATCAAATAATTTTTCCTCGGTTGCCAAGGTTCTTGAAATTGTCCTAATTAATCCTATTAAAATGGTGACCTCTGCTACAACTTTGTGTTATTTTTCTTTTTATTTAATATTTTTGTCCTTTTGTTTCAAATTGTTTTTCTTCTTTTTTTCTTTTGGGCGTGTGAAAGGATTAACCAATTTCAGTACATCCTGAGATCGACTAAGGGTGGTCTCCCGCGAGAAGCGCGGTTATTTTTAATTGGCCTCGAGAGACTCGCGCAAGCGATGTGCGCCAAAGAATCGCAACAGAGTAAGTTCAGCCATAGATTTTAGAAAACGTCATAAAAAAGCTTTGGACATTCTCAGCAAAAATGGCTGTTTCATAAGTTACTGTTATTGTAAGGTTGGTCAAAAGTATCTAATGAAGGAAAAATTACTTTTTTAGCAAAGGACACAGAGGTGTCACAGAATATCTGATAACCGGAAGCTGTAAGTGAATGGTATGTCTGACGTTATATCCTTTTGCAGCACTTAAAAGGAACTAAATATGTCACGATAGGTGAGCTTTGAAATTTCTTTAGTCTTCCTTTTCCGCAAT